TGCCTGCAGTCTGGCTCCGCACTTGATGGGAGGAGACAATGTGAAACACCTACAGAGGAGTTTGCCACTGTATTTTAGACTGTGCAGCGGTTGCCAACTTCTTCTTTGTCTTAAAATATAACAGTCCTGGACAAGAAATACAACTGCAGTACCAGAGCGTATAAAAAAAGACAAGACAAAAGGGTATACATATATGTATATGTATATATATATATATATATATATGGTTAGAGTAGACACTTTGCAATAACCTACTTTATGAATTAAAGTTGGCAATGGGGAAAATAGTTTTGACCAGTCTTGTTTCTGGTGAATGCCAAAATAAGTCAGTAAACGTATTAATCTGACAACACCTTGATATCAATCTTGCTGACAAATACTGATGTCTGTATTCTTCTTCCAGTGTAGTTTTAAATGCGCTGAACAGAGTGGCGTCAGTATCACAAGGACAAATATAAATCACATTTGTTTACAGAATAAATGTAATTTAGATTTGTTTCAAGGAAACGACAAAAGTCAAGATCTGTTAAAAAACTTTTACTTTCACTGAGATCCATTTCAGACGTCACGACTTTATGCTTTAAATAACATTTACGGCACATGTAATCTTGTCTGGGAGTTCAGTGCTGCTCATCTTTTGAACTCTATATCTGGGGCTTGTAAAGAACAAAACTTCAACCTCATTTGTGTCACTTCATCCAGTTTATGAGAACAAATGATCCTTTAACCTGCTCCCCGACCCACCAGTCACAGTCACCCCCCCCTGTTTCACCGCCCCCTCAACCTCCAATGTCTTTTTGAGTCATCCCTAATACAAAATAAGCCTAAACAGCTTTTGGCAGCCACTAGGTCTGAGCTGTAGAGGAGCATCAAGCACTGACTTGCACCCTCCTGAAAGGATCTATTACATTGAAAAAATTGGGAGAAGGCACAGTGTGACCAGACTGCTCTGTGTGAGGGAAGAGAGCTGAGAGCGCTGAGGACTGAGAGCAGGTAGGTGGCCGTCAAAAAGTGAAGGTTGGAGGGAGAAAATATACTGAGCGCAGAAGAGATGAAAGGTTGATTGCATCAAAGTATTTTCTGCTCTATCCTTCTAACATCGTTAAACATGATTCCGAAAGGTTCTTTCAGAAAGTTCTTTGTTAACAGGTGCACAGAGAAGAAGAAAAAGAAGCAAAATGAAATGATTTGAGCTTGTGGTTAGAGCCCTGACGTGGTCAGACTTTCCTCTTCAGAGATCAGAGTCTGCCGCACAAGAGGAGCAACACAGTTAATTACCATAGAAGGCATTTTTATTTGCTATTCAATCTCAGTTGCTCAAATTACAGAGTGTGCTATGACACAGGTAATCTGTATGTAGCCTCAAGACTGCAAGTGGGCTTCGTTACACACAGGACAGAGATTTGGTAAAGGTGCTTAAAATCCCCCATTTGAAGGCATGCAGGGATATCAGTTTGAATTTCAGAGTTTTAAATCTGGGACGCTGGATCACAGCAGCATGGTCAGAGCCGTGAGGTTGTTGGGTGATGACTAACTTTAGATGGAGGTATCAAATCAATATGTAACCTGAGAATTCAAGGACCTGCAAGGAGAGAGAGAGAGTGAGAGTTGCAGTTTGGCAGAAGATCAATTCTTTTCTTTTTTTTTTATGTAAGAACTCAGCAGAGCAGCAGTTGATGCTGTCCTCCCCGTCGACTCATCAAAGAGTGCGGAAAGTAACAGCCTTTAAGAAAAACACGCACACAATGTGCTTTTAGCTTAAGCCTTTCTTCCTTCTTACTGTTTTGAATGACTAAATGTATTGATTTGTCGGCCCACTTGCAGAGATTTGAACACAAGAGTCAATCCACTGGGAAGTTCATGTAGCGCCATTAGAGCTTATTCGACACCGAAAGACCTTGTCATCAGGCCTGCCCCATTTTGCGTGATTTACGCTGCTGAGGCTGTTTTCGGTCTTGTGTGCTCAGCTGCAATCAGTGGCGTGCGGAAAAATGTGGCGAGGGGACATTTGAGACGCCACCAGATGCCTTTTCCAGAGTGTGTGGTCAGTGGTGCACTCGTCTGCAGCCGGTGGAGGATTCACCACAACATGTCACGTACTGCTTGGACATTTGGCTGCTTCTGGTTGTGTGTTCTGGTTGTGTGTTGTAGAGTGCCTTCGGGGTCTTTTCTACAAACTCCGAACTTGAAAGACTATTTCATGTTGGTTTAAAAAAGAGGCAATTCCATGCCAAAGGATGCAGCACTGCAAACTCAAGGGGATCTCGTCACATAAAAGAAACATTAACCCATCATACTGTATATCTTATGTCAGTGCTATTCCTTTCTGAGTCACGCAGTGTAATGCATGGAACAGGAAAGTGTACAGAGACCAAACTTAGATCTTTTCTCGCTGCACAGGTGATCCATCTTCTCAAATAGCCTGTCATGTTTTCTGTCTTCACGTTGGTTATATGTAGTAGCGATGTGGAGCATGAATCCTCTTCTTAAAGCAACACCACTGAAACAAACCCCTGGAGCACACATCTTTTAAATATCTGAGTGACTGTAGCAGATGTTCAGGGGGTATTAACAGCTATTTTGTGTAAAACATCAGTTCCTCCACCAGTCACAATTCACAGAAAGACACGAGACACATCCAGTCAATAAACTCCACATGTAATCAGCTAAAGCAGCAAAGCCATTCAATCGAAGGACTTTAACGCGTAGAACCTCCTGCCAAGAAATCTCTTCTTGCAGACGGCTTTCCTTTTACCATATGTGTTGTGTGATTTATTTTCGAGATGCACGGAGAGCCAAGATTGCTGCCAGAGACCAGAACCATTCTGAACATATGCTAAAGCATGTGTACAACTAAAAATAAAACACTTTCCAAGATAGCAGGTTTCATTTTCAGGGGGAAGATTGGAAAAATACACTGTCAAAAACAATTAAAAAAAATACTGCGCCTGAATAAAAAGCATTCAGCAAAACAGTTTCATAGAGATTCCATTCCCCTTTGGCTTTGGAAGACTTTAAGGCTCAATGCTATGTAATAGCACAGATGAGATGGTTGAAAAGAGGATGGCAAAAAACTGTTAAAAATAACAAACTGCAGGTGGTTATTCTTTTGGCATATCCCAACTGGAAATCATATTCTAAGGAAGACTGAAATATTCCAAATACAAAGAAAAACCTGTATTCTCCGTTTTATAGTGCCACAACAAAAAACAAAAACAATATTCATACTGAAAGAGCTGAAAGACTCACCTCGCGTCTTCTCAAAATCTACGTTCAGCTACAAAGTGATAATGAGAATATTATTAATTGCTCAGCTCAAATCACGCCTACTTTAAGTCCCTGTCCAATGAGGAGGTTACGACCTTTTAACATGAGTCTTTAGTTCAAGTTTTACAGCAACAGAAAATAGTACATATGCCTGTTTTATCACTGCGGTGGTAGCTGTGAGCTGTGTAACACCCATGCACCACGAGTCAGTCAGCGGTCATCGCAAGTGCCAGTGATCCTTTTGATACAGTGCTCGTTCCAGTTAAAATCGGGTGCCAACAAAATAAAATTGTGTCACCATAGATCAAATGGACTAAATCATAGCAGAGGCGGGGCTGTTTCTCTGTGCTGCATTTTGTCTGATCGTTTGTCTTTGAAACTTCTGCAAAAATGACAGGGGACGACAGATGAAAAAAATATTTTGCTACATATTCTAATGTCCAAAATTATACCACACCATCTATCATCTGTCCATTCTCAGTGCTGCTCCTCACTGGGTGGGAAGAGCAGCACCCTCTGGAGGGTTTGATTACATGTGCTGTAAATGTTATTTAAAGCACAATGTCATGATACTAGCATCACGGCAAATCGCAGCCACCACTTACAGGTGACATTTGTCGATTTGACGGAAAAAGATGGAAATTTGTTCAATTGAAAGGATGTCGTGTAACCTGGTGGAACAGGAGGCGGTGTAAACACTGCAGATCCATGTGAAATGTCATCAGCTATTTGTCTTTTAAGAAGGATCCTCATTTCCTTTTTTATAATAAAGCTGTCATTAAACAAGAACGTGAAACGCTTCAACTCAGAAAAAAAAGAGTGTGCAAAGTCAATTTTCGCAGAGTGAAACTTAGAAGCGCACTAAATACATGAAAAGTGCTCTCCAAAGCTTTTCACACATCGTGATTTCAGCCATCATACCGAGTTATTCTGAAGTGAATGTACTGCAGAAAAAAAATGGAGGCCAATCTTCAGCAGGACAAGACTATTCAATCTAAAGAATATCGTTTATGGTCTGATCTGAACAGTATTAGGTCAGTTTGGATTCAATCTAAGAGACTGAAAACAAGAACGCGGCTAAAAAGCTCCAAGTCTGCCAGTAAAAGATGACACAGAAATACCTTCCAAACATCCACAGATAAATGAATGTGTTCAAAGGCAAAGGATGATCAAATTGATTACATATTTTACTGTCTATTTACAGGATTAAATAAGATAATCATTCTCTCTATATTAATTTGAAAGCTGCCCCTCCTCATCTTTGTGTGTATTTTTCATCTTTTAAACTGCACTGTTAAATTCTGGTAACAGATGTGCTGGGAGACCAAAGTGGTGGCCCTGTTTGCAGTATTTCAAAACTCTCGTTGATTAGTGCTTAATGAGTGCTTAAAACAGATGCTTGCAATGGATTTGTAGGGGGGGGATTCATGTCATGCTGAGGCCCACAGTTTTTGTCAACGACACTGCCTGCTGCCTCTTACTGACTGGTTTGAGTAACTGCAGAGCTGGAGAGAAGCAGTGTAGCTGAAAAAGCCTTCTGAGCGAATTCCGACCTTTTCCTCCAAAAGTTTTAAATCACTTCTCGAGAACATTTGAGTGGCGTCTGCTTAAACTTTCAAAAAGAGAATCTGCGAGTAAAAGGACAAAGGACAAAGTTACAGAGTGGCACCTCGAACTCTGGTGTCGGTCACGATTGTGTGAAGTGCTAACGGTTTTTATGTGTCATCTCTTTTGTGCAGAGCCCTCTGAATCTGCAGAGCTTGAGAGGAAATTAAGATGTGGAAGAGGACAAAGGTGGCGGATGAAACTGCCGCAGGGCAGGCAGGTAAGTGCAGAAGTCAGGCTGAGCTCGCCATTCCAGCTGTTTCCACCTGTATTTTCTTTCTCACAGAGATGATCAACAGGATCCATCTGAGCATCAGTTTACAACTAGAATATTTGAAGCAAAAAAAAACAGTCATGCAGTGTTGTACCCGAGAAACACAAAAATCCAAGACATGGAACAACTTCATAAAACAAGGATGACAAAACTTGATTTTGTCAAGAAAACGTGAAGATATGAACCAAAACAGCATCAGAAAAGCGTAAAACAGCATGGAACAGAGTGCCATTTCTGATGAGTCACATGAAGAGCAGCGCCACAGAGGAAAACCAAAAGCAGCTTCCAAAACAAGAATGATTTTTGCATTATTACTGTTTGATGTCATCGAGTCCAAAAGCATTTTTTTCTAAGCATTTGACGGAGACAGAGATGCATTTTTTTCCATTTTCAAACAAAAGAAGCAACGGCGCGTTTCATTTAGTTTGAATGCTGGCTTTGAAGCTTCAACTTTCATGGATGGAATCATGAGGCGCTACAAGATGGGAGAGCAAACGATCATTTACTGTACAACATCACGCCGGGAAGAACAATTATTCCTGAGAAACCACTGAGGTTTCCAAACATTGCTGGTATGCAGCTGGTGGTAACAAAATGGTCATTACAACACACTGGTGAACAGAAAATGAAAATGAATGATATTCTTGTGTGATAGAAGAACCAATTAAGCCATATTTTTAATTAACAACCTGCAAATTGCTTTCCCCTTCCCCCAAGTATTTCCTCAATTTCTCTCAAGCACTGCGCAGGAATCATCCTGAGATGTCTGCCATGAGAAACTGTGTAAGCAAGCTCCATGTTGAGTCTGATCGAAAGTTGCATCGCACAATCATCCCATTGCTGCTGCAACTCCCCGTTGCTAACACGTCGTGTTCGTCACTTTGTCTTCGACTAGCCACTTGTGTTTTGTGGTGTCTGTGAATATTTTGGCGTGCCAAAGTAGTGTCTGCGTCCGCGTTTCCCCAGTTCCTGGGTCACAAATTTGTACACGTGGTGTGTCTGTGTCTCATATGTGTCCATAATCCTGACGAAGTTCCAACCTGCCATGGCGCTTTTGTCAGGATTAAAACTTACCTGTCCTGTGCCCTCTCCCACTGTCACGTTGCGTGTTAAGTCGACGGTTCTGAGGGAGCTCACCCCGACAACAAAGGTATGCGGCCAATAAGAAACTGAATCACACAAAAGATTCACCTTCTGTATATGCATGTCCATATGCTGGATGAGTTGCATGTATGATGTGCTTTTCATCATCACTCTTTGAAAGGTGTCATCCCAAAAAAAGGATGATTTAACTTTCAGTGTCACAACAGATGCATTTCATTGTGACATTTCCATGAACCCTCCCTGCCGTATGAACACCAACCACCTCCTGTTGCTCGAGGGTACCGCTTTTGATTGTAACGTCTTTTATCTTGCGATTTAAAGGGGAAAATGCCACCTGTTACAAATAAGTCTAAATTGTGGATCGGCTCTGTACAGCTATCACAGCTCAGTTTAAATAATACTGTGAAATGTCAGGAAGGACGACATGCTTTTTCCCTCTAGACATTTCTTCAGAGATGCTTTGATCCCGAAAGGACACTTTTTACATTCGCATCACCGCAAATACGCTGCAAACAGCTCAGCGCACGCACAAACACAGAATCAAGTGCAGAGATGTTGATGAGAAAAGAAGAGCGTAACCGCTAGTGGAGTTCAGATATCAAGGCTCTAAGGAAGGCGAGGATAGCCACGGTTGGAATCATTCTTCGTGATTTATCCAGCAAGTTAATTATCTAAATATGCCAAGACAAAGCCTATTTTATTTTGACAACAGATTAATTATTGTTGTGAAGTTGTAATCACCCCCAAAAAAAGTCTCCTTTTAATAACACAATACGACACATCAAAGGCGGCAAAACGTTTCCAATAAATTCATGACAAATAAGGCTACATTTTTGCATTTTTATTAAAATTATTTTATGTATTATTCATTTATTATTAATAATAATAACAATAATAATAATAATAATATAATAATAAATGTATTTATTTATTTCAATTTTATTAATTTATTAAAATTATTATTATTTTTAAAATATATATAATTACTTATAATTACTGTTACCAGACACATACAGAGCAGCTGAGTTGCTTCATACTAGCTTAAGATAAACTGATTATAAAAAATTAATAAATAAAAACAAATGATCCAAACACAGTGCTACAAAGACACTAAACAGACATGGTTATTTCAAGTAGCTGTTCACGATGCATTTCTATAGTGTAAATAGTGTAAAACAAAAAATCATGCTTTGGAGAGGAAAGTACTCATCAATACACGCCTAATACTTAACACCACTTTGTAACACAGTGATTGTTCCCATAGCAACAATATTCCAGGCTCCCAGGTGCAACACAATAGGTGATTTAATGTCAGGCACACGAAAAACAAAAAAGCAAAAACAAAACAAAAGAAAACAAAAAAATAAACACAACTCAAGAGCTAAGCTTAAAGAGTTGCCTGTCGAAACAGAAGACAGACATTCTGTGCAGCTGCATTCAAAAATGACAGGAGCCGGTAAATTATTTTCGGCTACAGGCATTTCACCTAATAATTGAATGAAAAACCATCTGCACTTTGGTGATAGCCGGCTTACTGTCCTTACAACTATGGCCTAGAATTTCCTGAAATTCCCATCTGGAAATGCTGCTCGAATGTGACCCATAAATAACATTTATCCATTTCACACTGTTTTCAAATCCCACATATCAGTCCCAAAATGATGAGTCTCTGCAATCTTTTTTTTGCACTGAGTTTGTGCCAAATATTATAATCACAATTGGCTGACCGTCCCATAGAGTCGATGCACTGTACTTGAAATTGAAGGCCAATCAATATTTCTATGCAAACATATTTTTGCTTTTAATTACGTCTGCACCATCAACGCAGTTCCACTTTGTCGACGTTCAGCTTGTTAAGAGCACAATGTTATCACCATTCTGCTAAATCCAACGGAACTGTTGGCCTCTGCTGCAAGCATTTCACCTCCAACATGCTTTGGGCAGCAAAATGCCCTCCTATCACACATTTTAGAGCTGCAAAATACACGCTTAATATTCAGTTTGCCACAGGATTTTCATTCGATGTGAGAAATAATTAAAAACCAAGCACTTTAGGACCAGCTAGTCTTGTATTATGATTTTTTTTTTGCCACTCAGAGAAAATTCTGGGACCGACCGGTTCATAGAGGCTCATTATAAAAAACAAAACACTTGAGCTAAATGTTGTCTGAGCACTTCGGGGGATGACAATACCTCACAGAAGTGAGATATTTAGGTGACTACTAAATATTATACACATTTTGCTATTACATAAAAAATGTGTTTGTTTTATCTAGTTTTTAACACTGAAAACAAAACATGAGCTATCATACATTCAACTATATTATTATTATTATTATTATTATTATTATTATTATTATTATTATTA